TCGGTTATAATTCGTCCCCCTTTTTTAGTTATATGGGTTGTTGATTGCGGTTTTGTTTTATTAGTTTTTTTTCTTTCTTTTTTTTTGGGGGGGGAGTGATGTAGTGTTTCGGGTTGCTACGATTTTTTTAATGATAGATGGCGTTAGCGTTTCTTTTTTTAATGGATTTCCTTTCAATTTTTTTTTTTCATAAACCATTCTAAATGAATCAGAGGGGAGGGACGGTCGCCCTATTTCTTTTATGTTGTTTATTTATTTATCTATTTATTCATTTGTTTATTTTGATTTAAATTTTGGGGTAAGTAATGCTTGCGTGACGAATTTCCCATTCCCGTTACTGCATCTGACGCGCGTGAATATTTTGCTGTTTTTTTCTTCTTTTTGCAAAAGAAGGTTAGCCGGGGAGGTTGCACGTGGGGGGAGGGGGGGGGGGGGGCGGAAGAAAAGGCTGGATTCAAAACGGAGCTAAAATTTCACATGATTATCTCGGGTCACAAGGAAGGCACTTGCATTTATGTTGTTTATTTATTTATCTATTTATTCATTTGTTTATTTTGATTTAAATTTTTTGGGTAAGTAAGGCTTGCGTGACGAATTTCCCATTCCCGTTACTGCATCTGACGTGCGTGAATATTTTGCTCTTTTTTTCTTCTTTTTGCAAAAGAAGGTTAGCCGGGAGAGGGAGAGAGAAGGAGAAATAGAGAGAGAAGGAGAAATAAAGAGAGAAAGAGAAATAGAGAGACAAGGAAAAATAAAGAAAGAGAGAAGGAGAAATAAAGAGACAAGGAGAGAAGGAGAAGGATGAGATACAGAGTGAGAGGGAGAGAGGTAGAGGGGGGGGGGGTGAGGAAAAGAGGAAGAAGGAGGCATTCAGACCAGAGCCTCTCGTTCAAAACTTGTTCGTTTCCCTTTTGTTCACTCATCGGTATCTAGTTCTGTCTTTCCTGAGGAAGAAGAAGAGATGAAGATACCCCCCCCCACACCACCCCCACCCCTTCCACCCCTACCCCCTTCCCCCTCCCCCCTTCCCCCTTCCCCCCATTGGGACGTGTGCAACTTTCACTCTCACATCTTTTTAAAATCTCTTTTTGCCGTTTTTGTTTTTGTTTTTTTTTAACTCTTATCTTACAAGGGAGGTTCATATTTGGAAAAGCTCGTCTCTCTGTCTCTCTTTGTTTGTTTGTTTTTTTCTATATTTCTTTTCTCTTCCTCTTTCTTCCTCTCACTCTCTCTCTCTTTCTCTCTCTCTCTCTCTTTCTCTCTCTCTCTCTCTCTCTCTCTCTCTCTCTCTCTCTCTCTCTCTCTCTCTCTCTCTCTCTCTCTCTCTCTCTCTCTCTCCCTCTCTCTCTCTCTCTCTCTCTCTCTCTCTCTCTCTCTCTCTCTCTCTCTCTCTCTCTCTCTCTCTCTCTCTCTCTCTCTCTCCCTCCCTCCCTCCCTCTCCCTCCCTCTCTCCCTCCCTCCCCATTGTTCGCGCTCGCTGCCCCAACACTGACCATTTTATTATGCGAGTTATTGCGGAATCTTGCGAAGGGAAGATGGAGATAGAGGAAGAAAAGACAAAAAGAAGAAGAAGAGAGGAAGAAGAAAGGAAATGTTGCAAAGGGGAGAAGAAGACATTACAAGATTTATTGCAAAGGAAGGAGGAGGAGGAAGGAGAAAGAGGAGGAGAAAAAGGAGACGAAGAAAGATGCATTACGAAGGAAGGAAGAAGAAGAAGAAGAAGATAAGAATAACGATGTATAACGAAGGAAGGAAGAAGAAGAAGAAAAAGAAGAAGATAAGAATAACGATGTATTACGAAGGAAGGAAGAAGAAGAAGAAAAAGAAGATAAGAATAACACTGTATTACGAAGGAAGGAATAAGAAGAAGCCGATAAGAAAGATTTATGGCAAGTTCTTGAAGAGGGTGTGTGCGTGTGTTCGTGCGTCTGCTCCGGGGTTATCGTGCGAGGGAGAAGAAATTGTTGTACCCGATGACTTGACCTCGTATGTCGGGTCAAGACCAGAGGCAGGGAAGGGCGACGTGTACATATGTGCGTGTGTGTATGTGTGTGTGTACGTGTGTGTGGTTGTGTGTGTGGGTGCGCGTGTGTGTGTGTGTGTGTGTGTGTGTATGTGTGTGTGTGTGATCTGTTTATCATATTTTCCTCTCCTTCTCCCCCCCCTCTTCTCTCCTCTTCTCTTCGTCCTCTCCTCTTCCCTCCCTCCTCTTCGTGTTCCTCTCTCCTCCTGCGTTTGTTCCCGGCCCGTCTCCCTATCTCCTTTCTCCTCCTCCTCCTTCCTCCTCGATTCTCCTTCCCGCAGATTAGCGTCTCCCGCGCCCTCGTCTCGGGCACGTCAGCTTGCCCTGCGGTCGTGTACCCCTGGGCATGTTCCTCGGGTATATCCTACCCCCCCCCTCCTCCGCCCTCTCCTCCTACCCTCTCCTCTACTCCTCCATTCTTTTCTTCTCTTCCTCTCCCATCCTCTCATTCTCCTCCTCCCTTCCCATCCCATCCCT